CTGCAGCCGGACCCCACATCCCCAGGGCCATTGACAACGGCATGGCGGCTCTCTTCTCCTGATTTGGGCCAGCAGCGCCCCTGTTCGCATCGGCCTGTTAGTAATAAAAATTAAACTAAACCCCATCACACCCCTTGCTCACGGGGAGAGTTTAGAGGAGAGTTATCAGGATGTTCAGAAAGTTTTTGGAAACCAAGGCCAAGGCTTAAATGTTTCTGTCTCTGGTTTGATCTCCTCCCCCCTCCCCCCCCAATTCCTCCTCTTTTGGAAAAACAATGAGCTCAGAAAATGCCCTTCCAGACAAAATCTATTGTGCATTTTATAAGGTATCTTTCTAATAAACACACTGCGCCCCTTTTAACACATATTCCAGCCCCCCCCTTGTGCAATCCCTTCATAGGCATCCAGTGCAGCCCATAATGAAGTGACCTGCTTTGAAGAGAACCTGATCTGAACAATCCCAGTTGTGTTATTCGTGCAATGACACGATGCCGCACGCTTCCCCATCCAACGCCCCCGTGGCTTTCGTTGTGGGTCGCAGGCAGCTGCTTCTCGCATTGTAGCAGCTTCTTTTACGTAGCAACTACAGGCTGCCTGCTCCCCCCGTAGATAAGGATACGCTGCAATCTCTCTGGCCTCCTGGGCTGCCAGATACTCTCTGTTGCTTCTGTGTTTCTCTTTTGTTGCATGTTGCATTATTGCCAAGACTTTTCTGTTCACTTGGGCTCCTTTGTGCTGCTGGTAGCTTTAGGCTCCCCTAAGGAATTCCTTCCTCCTTCCTTTGACCTTAAAGCCAGCCAGGTTTTCTGACTGATAAGGGTGGTGCGTGGGGGAAACCGGTTATCTGCTGCTTCTGCCACGAGGCAGCAGGAGGAAGACGCTTCCAATGCGCTTGTAGCAGCGAAGGAGCAGCTCCTAAGGATTCCTTGTTCAAAGAAACCGACTTGCAAGAGTATCCCTCCTATCTTTGATGATGAAGTTGGGACCATCAGGCTTCCTCTGCCAGTGCTGGGGGGAGGGAGGGGGGGAGAAAGGGGGTGAAGACTTCAAACATTCACAGCTGCCCCGAAAACTAATTGGCAGTGAGACTGAACCCAGCTCTACCTGCAGCCCAGTTTGCAGTAATTGCCGCCCCCCCATAAGATTTGTGGTTGCAAACTTGGAGCGAGCCCTCCCCCCTCCCCTCCCCTGGCCCTCCCTCCCTGCCCAGGAGGCTCTGCATATGTGGGGAGGGGGGTGTTGCATTGCGATTTCTTTCTTGTCTGCCTTCTCATGCTGCCCCGGGGTCAAATTATTTAGCAGGAATAACACTGGGGAGGCCAAGTGCCTTTCAGCTGCCCCCTTTATCTTGGGTAATTGCCGCCAGTGCCAGGACAATTAGCCGGCTCCTTTTAAAAAACCCGCTAATGCCTGTTCCAGGTTCTCACCCCACTTTTGTCTCCTAAAAACCATCAACAAGATTGAAGAGCTGGGATTATCTGTGCCCGTCGGGCAGGGAACCTGAGCCTCTCCTTTCTTCTTCTGCCCTGCAGGGAAGCCCATCAGCCTGACGTACCGCTGCCCTTGCAGGTATTTTGAGAGCCACGTCTCCAAGTCCCAGATCAAGCACCTGAAGATCCTGACCGTCCCTGGATGCCCCCTTCAGGTCATGTAAGTGTCTCCTTCGCGCACCTGGGATGCCGGTTGGAAGCGCTGGGGCTCCATCCTCAGAAGGCCGGCGCTCGCTCGCTCTGCCTCGAGTTCGAGATACGGCGTTTAATTAGTCTGCAATAAAAGATGTAAACTAGTGTCTGAGTGGAAAAGTAGGTCAGTTTTCATTCTAGATCCGATTAGCACGTTCTCCTCCCTCCCTCCAGCTATTGTGAAATTGGAGGCCATTCCGTTTATTTTCAGTGGTGTTTATGATTTAAAAACATTACTATTGCTATGATTTTTATTTTGGGTTGCAGCGTTTTTAGGAAACGTGATTTTAATCTGGCTGGAAAAGAGAATGGTGTTAAGTAGAAAAACGGTCTTTGTCTTTGAAATGGCGGAAGTGGAGACTGAGATTTGGAGAGAGTTCAGCGGTCCACTTTTTTTAAAAAAAAAGACCCGAATCCTCCTGCTTTTTATGAAACTCCAACGAAATCTTCCTGAATGTAAACAGAAAAAAACTATCAGAAAAGGGACAGGAGAAGTTTTTTCTGCCCTCTTGTGGCTCCTTGGCATAAATGCTTTATGTTGCCTAGAAATTTAGGTTTAATTCAAGAAGATGATTAAATGAACTGCATGGGAAAATTATAGTCTTGGTAATGGCCAATAATGTTGCTCAATTGCTGTCGCTGTTCCAGTGAAAATTTTGTATTTTATTTTGCATGCGTTTTTCCCTCGTGAATAACGATGAGGGTTTGTGGTTAACATCTGTAATATTTCCTCTCTTTTGCTTTTTGCTCTTTTTTGCTCTATTTACTGTAAAAATAGAGTAAACGATGCTTCTCTGCTAGTCTGCAGGTTAATCCTTGGTAATGTCAGTTGAATGCTTCATTTGTGCTTCAAGGTGTGTTTTATATGAAACAGGTTTTTTTTTAAGAAAGAAAAAAAGAACAAGGAACAGACTTGATGGAAGCAAATTAGAATGGAGCCTTCAGAATCCGATTTCATGGCCTGGGAGGTGCCTGGTGGCCCCGTTTTTCTTGCAGCCTCTGCCTGCCCCGGTGGGNCCCCCCCCCCCCAAGGCTGCAATTCTGGGCCGGTTTCTGAAAAGTGGTCAGGATTCCCCCAGAAACCCTTAGGATTCCCTCCTCTGCCAGGATGATTCAGGATCTGGGTCATTTCCTCTGGGCCTTTCTGTTTCTCTTCTGCTGCCCTGGGGGGTGGGGAGGGGGCTGGAGGGCCTGTCATTCACCTTGATGGCTGGAAAGCCCCCTGGGGGACCAGCCTCAGCATGGCTTCCACTTCCCTCCACCTTTCCTCTTCCAAGGAGTCTTTCACCTGGAGGGGCCTTTGGACCACCGGTCCTCTTTCCCCAAATTTAGCCCCCATCCGGTTAAACAGCCTTTCTCAGCCTTGGCAGCTTTAGGATGGGGGGGGGACGACTCCCAGAAGCCCCCAACGACCAGAGAGCTGCTGGGGGGAAAGGCTGTCGGGTGCCAGAAAGGGGCCTTGCGGAGGGAGGGAGGGCGCAGGGAAGCCGGGCTGCCCGGAGTCGGAGCCCGGGGCTGCTGCGGAGGGCGGCTGGTGGGGGGCGGCGGGTGAAGACCCTCCGCGGCCCTTTACGCAGCGCAGGGCCGAGCGGGACTTTGGCAGCGGGAGCCTCCGGGCGCAGCAGCTGCGACTCCCAGGCTCCCTCCAGCCGCTCCGTGGCTCGCCCTCCCAGGCCGGGCGCCCCAAGCCAGCCCTGCGCCTCCTTAGCCGTCGGAGGGCGACCCCCGACCTCCCCCGGACCCCGCCGGGGATCCGCTCCGCCTTCCCTTCCCAGAGGAGCCGCGCAGGGAGCCCCGGGGGTGGAGGGGGCTGCAGCGCTGCTCCCCGCTGGGTCTCCCCCCGCTCCGTCCCTGGACGCTGCGAGGGGGGGGGCGGCAGAGGCAGGCAAGAAGCCCCCGAAGTTCAAGGCGGCCGCCGGGACAGCAGCGCCAGCAGAAGCCGAAGGGGGCGGGGAGCGGGGAGGCATCGGGCCGGCTCCTCAGCCGTCGGGGGAAGGCGGGCGGGCGGGCGCGAGCGAGGGGGGGGCTTGGCTGCCTTCCCGCCCCTTCGGAGGCAGGAGGGTCCTGGTGGAGGCAGCCGCGCCGGCCTCCTTCCCCGCCCCCGAAGCCCCCTCCCCCGGGCCCCCAGCCTCTATAGAGGCCGGCCGGGCGGAGGGCCGTCCAGAGAGGGTCTCCTTCGCCTGGCCACACGCAGCCCAGCTCCGCCATGGACCGCCGCCCGCTCGCCCTCCTGCTGCTGCTCCTGCTCGCCGCCCTGCACGGCACCCGCGGTGAGTGCCCGCCGGAGCCCCCGCGCCGCTCCCGCCGCCCACGGCCGCCTCCCCGCCACGCGCCGCGCCTGCTTTGGAGGGAGGCGGGCGGCGGCGGCGGGGCTCTCGGGCCCCGGGCTCCCCCGGGCAGGG